GCCAGAAAGAGGGGCCGGTCGCTGGGCTCTCCCTGGTGCCCAGCCTGACCCAGTGCCTGCGCTCAAGGTGCCCATGGAGAGTAGGCAAACAAACATGGGTGGGGATGCAGACTTCAAGCTGGAAGAGAGGCCTGCGCAGGTCCCTGTGGGGCCTCAGGAGGGAGCAGCCGGCGGTGGAGGTGGGAGGCTGCATGCAGGAGGCGCGGGGTCCGGGTAAGTGCTGAGAACCGAGGGATCCTAGGCAGAGGCATCTGCACTAGACCCTGCTACGACAGCCGTGACTGAACACCTGGGGGACAGCCGCTGTGTGCCATTAGCAATCTCATACACCTCTATTGGTGACTGCTAAATTTCGAGAACATCTCAAAACCAGACTGGGCACCCTGGCACTAATGAGGGCATCACCATGAAGAAAGTAGAAAGTTGCTAAAAAGACAAGACAGAAGAGATGGAACTGGGTGTCTGAAGAGGCTCTGACGTTGCTGGTGAACACAGGGCAGCTGAAGCTAATGGGAGAAACGACGATGTCAAAGAGCTGAGCAGAACACACCAGACACAGCCTGAGAAGACAGAGTCTCCTAATGAATGTGCGAAGAGCCAGAGCCAAATAGCCCGAAGGACAGCACATCCTCAGTAAATCTCAAGCTGAAATAACTGAAGACAAAAGTTAAGCCTGGACATGCAAGATCAAAGGTTTCTGTGGTCACCTGAAGCACTTGCTAATGAAGATTAAGGACTGCCATTTGATCTGAATGACAAATAACTGTAAACAAAATAAAAATCCTCCAACCTGGGCCAACAGACAAAACCACGATCAATGGAGAAAAGCTAGAAGTTGTCTGGGGTCTCGTCTTGCAGGGTCCACCATCGAAGCTCAAGGAAGCAGCAGTCGAGAGACCAAACAATGCCTTGCACTGGGCACAGCTGCTGCCCACAGCCTCCTGAAGCCTTGAAGGGCAAGGAGGCCAGAGCGCACCTGGCCCGCGTCACCGTGCTTCGATCCTCGCACCTGCGTGTGACAGTTGGACAACGAATATGGAGGAGCACTGAGGAATGGACGCATTTGAGCTAGGTGCTGGTGAGGAAGAACCACGGACTGCCAGGAACAAACTGAGCTGTCTCGGAAGAAGTACGTCCGAGCACTCCTTAGAAGTAAGGGTGGTGCTCCTTCTTCAAAGAACTGGAAAAACAGATTACCAACTTCATCTGGAGGGGGAAGAAGTCCAGAATTAGCAGAGAACTCCTCAGGAAG